TTGGAGTTACCACTGAGAGGCCTAGCAAAGTGGCAGAACCAGTGTTGGCAGGGCCATGCTGGGGCTATCAAAATGACCTGGTCCCGCTTGATCTTTAGAAGTACTCTGTGTACAAGCGGGACAGGGGGGAAAAAGTGTAGTAAAGGTGTTCCATCCACAGTATCAGAAAGGCATGTGTGATAGACCCTGGACTGCGGCTTCACAGGGAGCAGAATTGGTGACACTTTGTTGTACTGGATTGCAAATAGGTTTATCTGGGGAGTCCCCCACTGCTGGAAAACATCCCTCACCACATTTGGGTGAAGGGACCATTCATGGTGACTCGAGAAAGTCCTGCTTAGGAGATCTGCCAGCTCGTTTTGGGCTCCTGGAAGGTAAGAGGCCTCTAGGTTGATTGAGTGGGCTATACAGAATTCCCATAGCTGAATCACTTCCTGACATAGGCTGGAAGAGTGAGCTCCTCTTTGCATGTTGAGACAGAACATGGCAGCAGCATTGTCCATAAGAACAAACAAATCTCCGCCCATAATATGCAGCAAGAAAGCCTTGCAGGCCAGGTGAATTGCTCTGAGTTCTTGGACATTGATGTGGAGAGAAAGTTCTTCTGGAGACCAAAGACCTTGAGTTCTGAGGGACCCCAAATGAGCTCCCCATCCTAGTGCTGATGCATCTGAGATTGGGGTCACTGACAGTTGGGGCCATATAAAGGGAACCCATGCACAAATATTGAGCAGGTCCACCCACCAATTGAGGGAGACAAGAACATGAGGGGGCACCGTGAGTACAAAGTCCAGATGGTGGCAGTTTGGTGAGTACACTGAGGCCAGCCAAGTGTGGAGGGGCTTGAGGCGCAGCCTTGCATGCTGCACCACATATGTGCATGAAGCCATGTGGCCTAAAAGCCTCAGACAAGTTCTGGATGTTGCGATGGGATGGCCTTTGAGGTGTGATATTAGGGATGTGGTTGTCTTAAAATGATCCTCTGGAATGTAGGCTCCGGCTTGAGAGCAGTTGAACACCGCTCCGATAAACTGTATCCTCTGTACTGGAGTGAGGGTAGATTTCTACACATTTATCAAAAGGCCTAGGGCCTTGAAAATCGACTAGATGAGCCCAAATCTGGATACTACATGAGCCCTGGACCATCCCTTGATTAGCCAGTCATCCGGATAAGGGTAAACCTGCACCCCTGCTCTCTTCGGAAGGCTGCCACTATCACCATACATTTTGTAAACACCCTTGGAGCTGCACACAGGCAGAAAGGGAGTACCATGAAGTGGTAGTGTCTGTGGTTCACTACGAATCTGAGGAACCTTCTGTGACCATGGTATATCAATATATGAAAATAGGTGTCTCTTAAATCAAGGGCAGTGTACCAGTCCCAGGGATCCAGGGAGGGGATAATGGATGCCAAGGTGACCATGCAGAACTTTAATTTCTTGAGGTAGCTGTTGAGGTGGCGCAGGTCTAAAATGAGTTTGAGACTTTCCTTGGCTTTTGGGATTAGGAAATAATGGAAGTAGAACCCTTTCCCTCTTAAATGCTCCGGAACCTCTTTCACGGGTCCCATCCAAAGGAGGGATTGAACCTCCTGGGCCAGAAGTTCTTCATGAGAGAAGTTCCTGAAGTGAGATAGGGAGGGAGGACGGGACGAAGGTGTGGAAGTAAACTTGAGGGTGTATCTCACTTCCACCATTTTCAACACCGAATGGTCCATGGTGATACAGGACCATGCACTGAGAAAGTGGGAGATGAGGTTGTAAACAAAGGAGAAACAGGGTCTGGCATCATGGGAACTGGTATGGCACCCTCAAGTGTCTTGTCAAAAGGCCTTCTTAGAGCCCCCTGAATGTCTAGGTGGGCAAGCATGGACGTTGAGATAGCAAGGGGTGATGGCCTATGCCTAAAACCCTTGCTTCTTTTTCTCTGCAGATCCTGACAGATAGGCGGTGCAGAGTACAGAATGGGCTGTTGGGACATGTAGTACTTCCTTGAAGTCATTGGTGTATACAAACCAAAGGGACTTAAGGCTTGCCCTAGAGTCCTTTAACCAATGAAGCTTCACATCAGTCTGTTCTGAAAAGATCGAAGCTCCTTCGAGGGTAGATCCAGAAGGGTTTGCTGGACCTCCTGCAGGAGACTCAAAGACTGTAGCCATGATCTCCGATGCATGGCTACTGCTGTAGCCATGAACCTGGCCGCCGAATCAGCTGCATCCAAAACAGCTTGCAACGAGGCCCTTCCTACTGATTTTCTCTTGTCCACCAACACGGAGAACTCTTGCCTGGCATCCTGAGGGAGCAAGTCCTTGAACTTCTGCATGAGTCCCACGTGTTGAAATCATATCTGCCTAACAACACCTGCTGGTTTGCAATCCTGAAGAATAAAATATTCTACCAAATAAATCCAGTTTCTTGGATTCCTTTGCTTTTGGGTTTTCACTAAAAACTGACTAAACTATTTACAACTATGGTCAGATATGCAAAAAGGAAAAAACTACATAGAGCTTGCCAAAGCAAGGATAGCAGTTCCAGTGACCATCATGGGCAGTAAGACGGAACTAAGGGGCACCGGGTTGGCTGGGCACTTTATACTGGTGCTATGAGTGCACGGCACCTGAGGGTGCTCGAGCTGCCCTCACGGGTACCACTGAGGGAAAAATTTCTGGTGACTGTGCTTGGGGCCCACACACATGTGGAGTGGAATGCACATGTGCAATCACTCGAAAAAGAAACCCCCAAAACCTACTCACTGGGTGCAAGTTAGCAGAAACAGGACTCTGATTTCCTGTTCTCCACAACTCCCTGTTACCTGCCTTTTCCATTCTTTACCCGGGACTGCATGGACAGTGGAATTTACAACATGAACAGTAGAGTTGGTCAAAATTTTTCAACTAGAAAATATTTCTGCTTAAAAATAGGATTTATGGGAAAAATGTGACTGACAAAAAAAATGCTACAAGAAATTTTGAAGGGAAAATTTCCATTTTGTTGTGAATTGAACCGCACATTTTAAATAGTTTTTTCTTTTTTACCCACTGAATACAAAAGAATGAATGATGTCTACGGCTTTTTCTCCACATTCCCCTCTACACCTTTTTCCATTCCTCAACTTTTCAAAACTCCCTCAACTAGGGAAAAATGGGGAAAAGAGAGGAAAAAAAGGAAGAAGTGAAAAAAATTCTGGATATTGTTAATTTTATTGCACCCAGTGACACAAAAGAGAAGAGGGGCAGAAATTGGAAAAATGAAAATTCAGTTTAAAAAAAAAAAATTAACAAAAAGCTTTTTTTAATGTTTGGTTTGAGCCCTGTGAAATGGAAACTTCAAAATTTTTCACAAAATTGTTTTTCAACCAGCTTTAATGGGCAGAATGCTATAGACACTCTGAACCATTGTGTTGTTTAGGTGGGAATTCTCCACTCAGCCATCACTGTTATTGAGGGGTGAAAAGCTGCTTCTTCAAAGATTGCCTTTCACCACACACAAAATCAGGTTCTGATCCTGCAAGGAGCTCCTTGCAGCCTCGGTGCCTAAAAATGTTGTGTATAAGGTGTGTTTTTGTTTTGTACGGGTAGAAAAAGTTGTTACTGCATATCTCCTTCTCTCCTCTCCCTACCTGGTTTCCTGTGTGGTACCACCAACCAGGTAGAGTTTCCTAAATTCTTCCCCAGCTGACCTTGATTTCTAAATATGGAAAGAGGACTGCCCCAAATTATTATTTAGATCTCAGTCACAATCAGGCCCTCACTGAGGTAGCCATGGGGCAAAAATCGTACAACGTGGCCTCTACTCCAGAGTTTATTATCCAAGACCAGATCCTGCAAACACCTAAGCATTTGCTTAACTTTAAGCTTGTGAATAATCCCCTTGAGTCAATGTTGGACTGGGAACTAAAAAACAAAACACAAAACAAGTGAGGAAACAGGATAACACATACAGGCAAAGTGGTCAGGAAGACAATGATGCACATCTTAATTCCTCCTCCCTTTCAATTTTTAATAAAATATTTTAAATTATAAAAACCCAAAGCTTTTTTCTATGTATATTTAACTCCATGTATTCTATTTGGAACTATCAGAAATAATTCTTAAATATTTTGTGTTGAGGCCAGTGTCCCACATTTCAACTACAACATAAGATCCCTTAATCCATCTCCCCACAAGAAGGCAGCTCCTCTCATTCTCGCCATTCCCTCTTGACAATGGGATTAGCAGCAATGAGAAGGGCTTTTGGAGGAAGCTGTGCTTACATCAACAGGGATGTGTGATGGCCAGCTCCTGCTCTGCTTTACTGCTCCTCCAGGGGACAGGGCTAACTGCCTAATCCATCAGACTGCAACCACTAGAGTGGGGGGTAGATCATCCTGAGTATGTGCAGTAGCTGCTGAAGCAGTAGGGCCTAATGTGTTTTTGAAAGAGAAGTGAATAAAAGTTCTAATTAAATTACAGGGGAAAGTCAGGCCAACCGAATATGATTAACTGAATTGGAATTACTTCTAGTATTTGTTGTCCAATTTTAAAAATGTACCAAATGTGCATGAGAGTGCAAAGATGCCAGAGAAAGAGAGACTTTCGGTAATAAATGCATTCTAGTCTGCTTCTCATAAGCAAAATAGGATGAGAAAGGGGGAAACATTTCATAGTTGTTTTTTTTTTAAATGTCCCCTCTTTTGAAATTTGGGGGGAAAAGGTAAAGCATGAAGGACTCTTCACAAGACAGATAAAAGGAGAAAAGAATGATAAAAAAATGTTCTTAGGGTTCTCTCAGGTTCCAAGCAACCAATCCCATAAATTGTCATGCATTAGGTAAGTATTATTAGGACCTAATTAAAGAATGGTAAAAGTCTTCTCTCGCCCTCTTTTTGAACATATAAGGGCCTGATCTGCCATCATCAAAGTCAATAGATTTGTTCCCATTAACATTAGTGGAAGCAGAATTGGGCCCTGAGTATATAATAATTTAATCTCTTTTGGAAGAAAATTTTTTATGAGCACAAACCTGTATGATTTGCTGTAGAGTTCAGTCTCTCTGCTACTACCCGTTTAATTGCATCCAGGACAATGCTCAACTCACGGGATCTTTTTTTATTTTCTTTTTCGGCATATAACAATCTTTGATGAAGTTCCAAAAACTGGCTTTGGTACATGTCTAAGCCACTTCCTGAAATGAAAACGTAAATGGTTTCTTCAGGGAGGGATTAACCATATACTAGAATAAGGAGGGAGTTCAGGAATAGGGGACAGCATGGAAAGAGAATGAAGAGGAGAGTGAAAACAGAAAATAAAAGAGCTGATTCAAGGTTTATTGGTGGAGTGAAGAAGGGGACAGAATGCTAAGAAATAAAGACAGGATTTAGGAGAGCACAGTTATACAGAACCTTGAAAGTGGGGACAAGAAGTCTGAACACAATACTAAGGATGAGGAAGGCAGCAAAAGAAATTGAAGTGGGGGATGGCATAGTCCCAGTGACAGGCAAGGAGGATGATTTCTGGACAGATTAGAGGAACATGATAAGTAGGAGAGAAAGGTAAGGACATGCACATTAGCAATAGGGATAAAAAGTCACTTGGGTCAGAGTGTAGGTTTGATAGCTGCAAGCTAGGACAAGCATAACAGATCTACAATAGACTAATGCACGCTCTTCCTCCAGAAGTGAATTATAATGAAGAACTTCATAGTAATTGGATTAGTTTTTTTTCCATGAAACCCTTCCTTCCAGATTCTTAAAATATATTATACACCCTCCATTGACCACAATCTATGAGAGGAGTCTGTTCACTAACACCCCATCTCCCCTCCCCACAACTCCCCCACACACTGTTTTTCACTTGTGGTGTACCGCTGCACTTTCTGGTTATTCCAAGGCCAGAAGTGAAAGTCCTGAAAGTGGAATTGAAAATCTTTCAAGGGAACCTGTTCCCATGAGACTCACAGCTTAGTTTTACAAATCCAAGAAGTCTGGAAAAGCATCCCTATTTTTGGGTGCTTATCTAAACTGGATCAAAAACCCTCCAGGTTTTTAAAGGCTCATCTATCACTAATAATCATCCAAATGCAGAATTTCTTTGAGGCTATCCATGCTGATGGGTCAGATTTATGAAATAATTCAAGAATGGGTAAGAATGCTTTGCCTTCAGCTCCTGAACGTGGACCTCTTGAAGCAATATATTCATGCATGTCACACTCTCTAAACTAAACAGACCAATCACGAAACAAAAAAGGGAGCATTTATATTAACTTCTTAGAGATGCCTTACAAGTGCACTTCAGGCAGAGTATTAAGTCATTGATTGCTTTCAATCAGCAGTGAGTGATGATTATTTAAAACAACTTAAAAACTGTCCATTTAAACTAAAAATAGGAACCATGAAAGAGAAACAAAGCTATACAGACAATAAAGTACAGTGTAAGCAAATAAATCCATAAGTGGCTCAAAGGGAGATTCCTCAAAAACAAACAAAAAACCTTTAGAACTTTTTGTAACTGAAAAGCTAACCTTTAAAAGGAGCTAACAGTCGATAAAGTACAATGATAGACACTGCCCTCATTAAAAACAAACAAACAAAAAAATGTTCCACAAAGCAGTTCAGCTATAAAGATTATACTCCTCACTCCCATTTGCATTTGTTCAATTTTTGATTGTTCTGCAATGTCTAATAAGCTTTCCTATACTATCAAAATTGAACTCTTCCTAATTGAACCATTGGTATTGCACTGGATTAAGCACAAATGATGCAGCCACACTAGCCATGTTGATTTGTGCTTGGAATGTCGTAGTAGCTTTGCATGTCCAATACTAGTGCTCTTCAATGCCCTCTGAATACTAGTCCCACAGTTCCTGACACAGCTCCCAGAAGCACTGGGTTCTAGGAGGCTTTGAAAAGACACCAGAGCACTATGGGACAGTAATTAAATTAATGCAGTCCAAAATGACACTAGCACAGAGTGGGCTGATATAGTTCAGACTAAACCATTATTTAATTCTACTGAAACAAATCTAAGCCAGACACAAGTAAACCATCTGAAGCACTTCATGCTGGCAATTCATGACGGCGGAAACGGGTGTGGGGGGGGGAGGGGCACACTTTTCCTAGCATAGGCCTTGAACCAGTAAAGCATTTCAATACATGCATAATAGTCTCTGATTACTCACATGGTTAAAATAACACACAAAAATAAGCTCTTTATTGGATCAAGCTCATGGTAAATTTCTCTAGTGTACACAAGACTCAATAGACTTTAGACTGAAAACTTTTTTGAAAGAGGATCTCAGGTAAATTTGTATCACTCTGTATGCATTTATCGTTAGTGTAAATAAAACTACAACAGTGTTTTTCACTTTCTAAATACATTATAGTTAATCCAGATTTTATCATTTACTTTCCCAACAGGAAAAAAAAAAAAATGATGCAATACCAACCACAAGCTTCCTCATTGTCACATGGTGACTGAAAAAACTGATGATTGATGGCATTGGCACCCATTGTGTTTCTCTAAGGCGCATGATTAATACCTTATGGAGAGCCAGTTAAACACTAAGCTTTTCAAGTGCAGCAAAGCATACCTGACCATTGTAGGCATGAATCTTGAGCCCCAAGAATAGGAATCCATCCTTAAACACTTATCTTTGATTGGGGTGGAGTGTCATTATTTAACAATCTTAGAAGGATTCCAAGTTTGTGTATTTAATATCTGACAGAACACTGTGTGCCTGAACAACATGCCAATTTTCTGATGGGACTACCTCATAGATTTCAGTGGAGCTATTTTGCATTTATACCAATATAACAGAGCTGAATCTGGTCCAGTGATACTACATAAAATATTCTGAGCCAGATTTTCAGTGGGACCAAGGAAGAGCTGGGACAGCATGGGGAGTGTGTGCAAAGGAGCCTTTTGCATCTCCTACGTTGGTTCTGTGACAGCCTGGCCTTCCAGCATAGTTTAGAATAGCTTCAGACCTGTTCTACCAGCTGCCATAAGTCTTCAGGTGCTCTTAAGGGAATGGAGGATTGCCACTGCATACCTATCTTTAGGGCCCTACCAAATTGACAGTCCATTTTGGTCAAATTCACTGTCATGGGATCTTTTAAATTGTAAATTTCATGATTTCAGCTATTTAAATCTGAAGTTTCACAGTGTTGTAGTTGTAGGGCTCAAGGAGTTGTGGGGTGGTCAGAGGCAGTGAGTTATATGGGCCCGTAGTGCCCGTGCTCCACCAATATTCAGGAATGTGAACATAAGAACGGCTGTACCAGGTCAGACCAAAAGGTCCATCTAGCCCAGTATCCTGTCTACTGACAGTGGCCAATGCCAGGTGCTCCAGAGGGAGTGGACCTAACAGGCAATGATCAAGTGATCTCTCTCCTGCCATCCATCTCCATCCTCTGACAAACAGAGGCTAAGGACACAAATCCTTACCCATCCTGGCTAATAGCCATTAATGGACTTAACCTCCATGAATTTATCCAGTTCTCTTTTAAACGCTGTTATAGTCCTAGCCTTCACAACCTCCTCAGGTAAGGAGTTCCACAAGTTGACTGTGCGCTGCGTGAAGAAGAACTTCCTTGTATTTGTTTTAAACCTGCTGCCTATTAATTTCATTGGTGACCCCTAGTTCTTGTATTATGGGAATAAGTAAATAACTTTTCCTTATCCAGTTTCTCCACATCACTCATGATTTTATATACCTCTATCATATCCCCCATTAGTCTCCTCTTTTCCAAGCTGAAGAGTCCTAGCCTCTTTAATCTCTCCTCATATGGGACCCGTTCCAAACCCCTAATCATTCTAGTTGCCCTTTTCTGAACCTTTTCTAGTGCCAGTATATGTGGGTCCAAAATTGTCCACTTGAAGGGCACACAACCTTATTTTCATAGGGCATGAACTAGGGGTGCAGGGGGTGCTGCAGCACCCTCACTTTTTACGCGGGATCCCGGCTGCCAGCCCCGTGCCAGGGGTCCCAGCTGCCGGCCAGGGCTCCAGTCCTGGCACTGCGTCGAGTCCCGGCTGCTGCCCAAGCCCCCGCGCCCACCACCAGCTGTGGCCCCAGCCTCAGTCCCCTTACCCCTCTCTGGGTCCCCCCTCCTGGAGACATGGCCCTGCTCCCGGCCCCAGCTGAGCGGGGGTGGAGGAGACACGGGAAAGGATATATATCAGCTTACAAGGGAGGTGTGGGGAGTGGGACTTGGACCCGTCCTGGGAACCACCAAAAATTATACAAACCTGGTGCCCTGGGGTGATCACAAGGTTATTGTGGGGGGCGGGCTGTGGTACTGCTACCCTTACTTCTGTGCTGCTGGCAGCAGCCCTGCCTTCAGAACTGGTCAGCTGGAGTTGGCTGCTAGCCCAGTTCTGAAGGCAGAGCCTCCACCAGCAGCAGTGCAGAAGTAAGGATGGCATGGTATGGTATTGCCACTCTTACTTCTGTGCTGCTATTGGCGGGGCACTGCTTAAAATAACCTTGCGACCCCCCTTCCTCCCCCCACAACTCCCTTTTGGGTCAGGACACACAATTTGAGAAACACTGGTCTCCCCCAGGAAATCTGTATAGTATAGAGTAAAAGCACACATAATACCAGATTTCACAGGGGGAGACCAGATTTCACAGTCCGTGACACGTTTTTCATGGCCGTGAATTTGATAGGGCCCTACCTATCTATTGTCTTCTTTCCCCTAAACATTGTCCTTATGCTAGGAGGATGGAGACACTGGAGGATTCCTTTACATAGGACAATCCTCCATTTACCAGATCTGCAGGCTTAAAGATCAGTTTTGAGTTAGGCGACCATAGCAAAGCTGCCCTAACTGACTGAGAATCAGCCCATGTGTATCCTCAGTGCTTGAGAGTCTACTTTTTGTCTAATATTCTAAGAAAAGTAGTTAAACTGTTGGTGTTGAATATGGTACAGGGCTAACAAAAACAAATACAAGACTCGTGCTTCGAAAAGTCAATAATAATATATATTATTCTTAAGAAAAAATAAAAGATAGTGATTTAGATTGCCATGATTTCTTTGGGAGTATATGAGGCTGTGTTTTAAACGTCATCCGTTGGGGATAAAACTAATCTTGTCATTCCTGCAATTGCCTATAAATTTCCACTAATAGTAAAGCATATCCCTCAAAGATTAAATCTGAAGTGAACCAAAATATGAAAAGTTCCACTGTGCCATTCTGGGAACAAAGATTTAAATTGAAATTTATTTCAGTCCAAATTCTAAATGAAAATTCCATGATTACATTCCCATTAAATGTCAAATCGATATTGCTATTTAGTTAGCACTTTTCTATTCTTTTCTCCTAATTTTTCTCCCCTTTATGTTTTTTATTAAAAAAATTAAATTTCAAAAATATTTTTAAAGTAGTAGACCCTGTTACAGGGCCAAATCCTGCTCACCTCATTCATTAGAGCTACTCATTCAACACTCCATGATTTAGCACAAAAGGCCAAAACCCACAAACACAAACACATTCTTACCTACCTGAGTAGTCCCACTGACTTCAATGAAACTATTCACATAAGATAAAACATGTGATTTTTTTTAATTAAACAATTAATGCTAAAATAATTTTAGGCACACTCCTGTACACCTTTCCATACCCACCATGAATGTTTGGGTGTGCTAGGAGTGAAGGAACAGGCCCAAAGTTATGGGAATTTTGGGTGAAGAATGCAACAACATTATTAACTACTGTTATTGCAGCTCTGAACATAGTGTTTGTTACTTAAATTGCTGTGGCAGAGTCATTGAGAAAAAACAAAAAAAACCTTGCCATTGCTTTTGTTTTATAAAGCAAAACCTATGCTTTACAAAACAAAAATATTGTTTAAAAATAATTCACTGTGAAAGGAGTGCTACTTTTAAAGAAAAGAAAATAACCAGTTATATTTAAAATCCTGAATTCTTTCCCAACCAGATGACAACCTTTTAGCAAGAAATATAATACATTTACTATAGCTAATTAAACAACCAAAACTGACATTAATATCCAGTACCAGATGGACTGAGACATACAATGATTAACTGTGTGTATTGTTATCAGGTGCAGTTTAACATTTTTAGTTTTATAGTATATCAAGTAATATGGATGCACATCATTTTCAGTAGCAATTCTCAAGTACATACTGGAGAGTTGAGTATGAAAAGTCCTTTATGGTGCTAGAAGCAGAAAATGAAGTTGATGATTACTGTAGAATGATGGCATGAGGAGGATTTACATATTGGTTTGATTTCAGATTGCAAGTGGATCATAATCAGAATATACAATCCACTGCCCATAAAATTTGGTTGTTTGCTTCCCTAACATATGTCAGGTTTAGAATCAGAAGGCAATTTACCAGTTAATTTTTCAGGTTTCAGCGAATGTGCAATAGAGATTCAAAGGCTAAGTAAGTATAAGCTTTCTAGAAATCAAGGAAACAGTGTTGACTACCCATATACTTTATGTATATAGTGTCAACATTACCAAAACAAAACAATAGGCAAAGTGATGGTGTAAATTGCTGCTGAGTTCCCATCGCTATATAATAGACTTATCTTTGAAACCAGAAATTATTAGTAACTGGGCAGCCCCACAGGCAAGACAAAATATAGGTTTTAGGAAAGCATTTTGGACTGAGACGATTATGGTCAGATTTTGTTAGTTATAATAGGTGAACAGCAAATGGCATAGTGAATACATAGTGAATATGCATATTTACATACTGTACTTGTTACAAACTGAAACTGTTCATTCCCGAGCACCGTACATCAGTGAACCAAATAGAATTTGGAGGTGAATTGTTTCATATTGTTGGCAAGTCTTAAATTTTGCTCTAAGACCTCTTGTTTCAGAGGATGGGACGGAACCAGAAATAACACTGAAAGTAAAATCCTTGAGTTGGTGATAGACAAGGAAAGTAAAATGTATGTTTTAACTAATAAAATAAGAGGACTATGTACCTTGAAAGCAATCTGAGATATTTATGAGACCTTTGGATTTCCAATCACTGTAATATATCTAGTCTCAACAATGGATAGTAATTTATTAACCCAGAAATATGATGAACTTTTCCCATACATTTTAAAATTTTAAATTAGGTTTATGTCAGTGATTAATTAATGGCTGGGTTTGATCTAGCAATGTGGGGCTGTGGGCAGAAAGGGAATAGTTCTGATGTTTAGCATTTAGGTAGCATGTGTAACTTGTACTGTCAGTAGGTCCAGGATAGAATGTAGTAATGTTACCATTCTACTATTGTTTGACGTGAGATTGCTTAAGTGCATAATTTCCAATTTGGAAAGGCTTAGAAATTAAATTATCAAAGGAAAAAGTCTAACAGACTTATTATTTTATATCGTGGTCGAATGTAAAGGTCCTGTACAAATATATCACAACAAGACAGCTCCAGTCCCAAAAGCTTACAGTTAGTCAAAATAGAATATAGGTTTTTCATTCTTCCACAGAAATTGTTTTAAGGTTTTATCTAAGCAATTCCATC